ATCTATGCAGCAGGCTAGGAGAATCAGAATCAGAATCAGAATCAGAATCACCCTTTTGTTTGCCACCTGAATTGAGTCCTTTCTATGATAGGGAAATGATCAAAGACAATAATGAAATAGAGGCTAAATATGTAAGTAATTGGTTAAAGCAAGGTGGACCCAACAACAGAAGCTTCATGGTTTGGGATCTCCAACTTCCAGAAGAGGCAATTAGAGGCTTGTTTCAATTGTCTCGCTCAGATATTGAAAAGCTCAAACAATTTGTAGTGTCAAAACAGAAAGGGAATCTTCACTTGTCAACTTTTGTATTATCTATAGCTTATGCATGGGTTTGCAGGGTGAAAGCTGAGGAAATTCAAGACAGAAGAGTTATTATGGCTCTGTGTTGGATATTTGTTATACCCAGATTGTTTAATTGATTTAAAATATATTTTGACGATTACAATCAATTTAATGTAAATTTAATTGATAATATTTTATTATCTAGAAATTACTAATTAGCTAATTGTTTGAGATTTCAGAATAATATTTATTATGATTTGAAATAGTATTTAAGATAATTGAAGATTGCATGAAGATTGGAGAAGATATGAAAGATATCATGAAGAGAGAGAAAAGCATGGGATCAAGTCTGATAGCTTCAAGGACAAAATAGTAAATTTAATAACTTGCTTGGAAGAGATTGGTTAAATCTAAAGCACAAGCCCATCACCTAGTGGATCTTGAAGTCAAAGAAAAATACAGCCCAACAAAGAGAACCAATTTAAGAAGAGTTGAATTCAATAGAACATGTAAGAGCTGTTAAGGAACTTGATCTTACTTTGATTGCCTTAGATATTTGAAAAGCAAGGATAAAAAATGGTTTTACAAACAAACCTCTGGATAGATTTTCTTATCTATTAAACCACTCTTTTCAAATATTGTGGTTGTTTTTAAAATCTTCTAGATTCTGATTCAAAAAATAAAAAGGTTGTTTTTTAAATAAAGATAAAGAGATTATCTGAAAATCGGTCTTTCAGTCCTTCAGTCTTTCGTGATTATAAAAATAAAATTCCATTCCAGAGGATTACAAGCAGAGCATAAGTTATAATATTGTGGCAATCAAGGCACGATCAAGGTCTATCTTTTAATGCTCATAGGTTTGCTATTTCACCTCTCTGCTTATTCAAGAAGCACATGGTATTTCTATTATTAAATCTTTTTGTTAGCTTAGAGTTAAGCTATTGTGCGTAAGTGATTGATTTTGTCTGAGTTGACAGAAGGTGAGTTATTGGTGAAGTGTCATTTGGGTGGCTGAGTAGTCATTCAGATTTGGGTGTGAATTGTATAAGGGTAGTGTAGGGCTAACCTTGTACTATTGTTTTTGGCTCTTTTAGTAAAGTGTTTTTGACCAGTTGGAGAGTTTATCCAAATTGGTGCCGTGTGTTTTTACTCCTCTCGAGCCAAGGAGGTTTTCCCACGCAAATTGCTGTGTGATTTTGGCATACTTTATTTTCTATTGATTATCTTTGGAAATCTGTTTTTGTTTTAAGAGGAGGCAAAAATTTTATAAACTCAATTCACCCCCTCTTGAGTTCATCTGGGACCAACAATCTGAACATTGATTGCGGGTCTCGCTTAGAACCACCTCTTCCTCCAACATATTTTGGAAATTGCATTGGGGCAAGACTTACAATTTGTGAAACGAGAGAATTATTGGGGGAAGATGGACTAATTGTGGCTGTGGAAGCACTGAGTGCAGCTTTGGGAACTTTGAAGGATGGAGTGCTGAGTGGAGCAGAAAATTGGTCATCATGGTTGATTGATAGTTTTGCCACTGATGTGAAGACAATTGGTGCTGCTGGGTCACCCAAGTTTGATGTTTACAATTGTGATTTTGGTTGGGGAAGACCAAAGAAGGTGGAGATGGCGTCTATTGATAGAACTGGAGCATTTTGTCTCTCTGATAGCAAAAATGGTGATGGAGTTGAGATAAGTTTGGTGTCCAAGAAAGAAGCAATGGAGGCCTTTGCTTCTCTCTTTGTTAAAGGACTTCTTCAATCTTGAGTTTTTGTTGTTTTTGCTTTATCATTTAATAACTTCTTATCTGAAATGTTTTGATGTGGAATTATTCAGTTTTTTGGTGATATCATACATTCCTGTTGATTTCTGGAGTTATCGTTTTCACAACTTACTTCTAAAGCCAAAAGCTTTCAAAATCATGGTTTATTTCTCTATTTTTCTATTTCCATCATTGCTATTGATCAACATCAACATCTAAAAGGTTTATGCTAAATCATTTCTGCAAGGAGTATCTCTTCATGTATAATCAGAGAGGATTCAAATATCAATCTAGCAATTTTTCATATATTATATTGGTATTTTAAAATTGGAAAAAGTGTGTGTCATTTTAGAAGACGCAAAATTGTGTCATTTTAAGATAGAGAAAAAGATAGATAAAGGAGGAGAGATAGTTGACAAAAAAAAATAAAGGTGTAGGTCCCACTTCTTTGTGAGAGTGAAAGGATATAAGTTGTCTCATTTAGAAGGATAAACACTTTTTTCTTTAAAATTTAGATAACATTTTTAAAAAATAAATAAATGACGAAAATACTTATAATTAATTTAAAAAATTTAAATTTAAAAAATTAAGAAATATATGTATTACATTTTGAAAAAATTGAATCAGTCTAAAAAATTTATTTTTATTTAATATATAGGTGTCATTTTTATTTAAGCAATTTCAGTCTCCTTTAAAATTTTTCCATGATAATTTACTTAATTGTTATTTATTTCTTTTTTCTTTTGCCTTTTACTTTTCGTCAGTCGTAGCTTATTGTCCATTGAGTTATGTAAGTCTCAAGGGAGATATCATTTCTTGTCATATCAATTAAATGATTTCTATTTTGTACCCTTGTTTTAATTACTTGGAAGGTTATTGTCCTATTGTGTAACAAAATTCCACCCTTTGCTTGGCTCTTACGGTCTGCATGTCTTACGTGCTTCTAGAAAGATTCGCGAAGTTTACAATTTAGCTTAATTAATTGCAGTGTTAATAAAATCGGATAGATCAAGCGGGGTCGATTCGGAAATCGGTAAATCGGTCCTATAATTAGTCTGGTTGAAGCAATAGACCAGTCATGCATCAGAACCGGTGCGACTCGGTCTGATCCGGCCAATATTTATGAAAATCGGTGACCCAGTCAGTTAATTGGTGACCCGACCTGGAGCAAAAAAAAAATCAAATTTTTTTTTAAAAAGAAAATAATAATAGATATATTTGAATATTTTTTTGCTTATTGACTTACATAAATTATGTACCTACCACACTCTTATTATCTCAATTATGCACTATGCAGAAAATTTTGATTTACTTTATAGTTAGATATTTCATTTTCTGAACCTAAAACCTCATATCACGATCATTATATTTTTGTTTGATCTTTTATTAGATAATAATATGTGATTTATTATTTTTTATATTAAAATATTTGAAATTTTGTCATTTTTTATACATATTTGAGTATGTTTATAATTTTTTAATATATATTATAAAATTGTATATAATTACTGAATCATGCGATTGAACCAGTGACCTAGTACTCCAGCCCCTCGACTTGGTCAATGACCAGACCAATTTTAATAACATTGATTAATTGTTGTTTTCGATTTTCTATGGAGTTTGGGAAAAAAAAACGAAAAAAAAAACGTTTAAAATGATTGTCAATTATTGAATAAAGACACAAATGAGACGTGCCTCGCCTTGTCAGTCATTTTGCTTTCCCGGGGTATGATATTTTTTATTTAAAATGATTGTCCTTTTCTACTATAAAATAATATAATTAAATGCGTGAATGTGCGAAAATGGTTATGACTCATGCATGAGCCGAGATGAGCGCTTTTATGGGCAAGAATCAATTGAAGTCAAAAGTTTAAAATATTATTTGAAGGTATATTAATTATTTTATATATTTTTAATATACTTCCTTATAAAAAAATCCATTGGTCTTAAAAGATTAGATGATACATCAGGTTCAATTTATTTATGCTAAAAAAATTTACAAAGAAAATGAGAAGCGGTGAAGATCGAATTCGGAATACCAAGACACTAATACTATGTAAAGAAAGTTGTTAGATGAGTCTACATTAATAATTTTATTTATTTCTAACACGCTCTCTCACAAGATAGCTCATTAAACTTGAAAGATGAATTATGCATCAGACCCCTACCTATACTAAGAAATTCTAAAAAAAAAAAATGAGAAGCGGCAAAGATTGTATCCAAACTCTGAAATCATATAAAAAATCAATTTAACTCAAAACTTAAGTTATTAACTGAAAGCTCATGTTTATATACATGCAATAATCACATTGGCCTCTTGCTTACTGTGTTGCTGGAACAGGATTGGATGGTGTTACTAAAACTTCTTTTCCATCTTGAGGCTGGTCTTGTTCAGTTGTTTTTCTTAACGTTGATCATGTTGAAGCTAGGAATTAGGAGTTTACCTCTTCCAATATATGGTGTTTCGAGATTTTGGACTTTGTTAGATACGTCACGACATTGTTTTCTTATGCTGTGTGCTCCAGATCTTCTTAAAAAATACTAGTGGAGACAAATGGGGTGGTGTACCAGTACAACATTTCATGGTCAAGTTAGAGAAAACAGAAGAGAGCAACGAATATGAGAGGAATAATACCGTGTCGGTAGCTTCTTATTCAATTAAAATTATAAAAAAATAATACTTGAGAGTAGTTAATTGCAATAAAAACAGATTGTGATTTCAAATAAATTTTAGCTGTAATGTGAAGCATGTGAAACAGTACGACCAGAATTTATTAAGGGGAACCAAAAAAAAAAATACACTTAAAGGAGAACAGTTATTGCATATTCAGAAAGAGTAATTGTGCTTATGTCCTTTTGCTATTGAATACAACCTCAAACCTATTGATGAGGTAGTTCCCTTTTTCTTGCAATAGCTCCAATCAATCAACGCTTAGTCCTCCATGAAATAAAGTGTTGAAGTGTTCCATAACATTTTTATTCAGAACAAGCCCAACTTCAACCCCACCTTTCCCATCCTTACTCTCTACCAAGCCAAAGATTAAACCTCTATCCACTGATATTATCTCCACCTTTGCAGGCCTTCCCCAACCAAAATCAGTACGATAATCACCAAATCGATTTGACCCTGTTAGTCCCATCAATTCAGCTCCCTCACTTTGCAAAGCCTTCACTCTAGAAAACACACCCCCAGTTCCTCTAAAAACCCCCTTATCAAAGCTTTTTATTTTATTATGAATGCACTTAGCAACAATGATGACCCCATCTTCCTTTGTATAATCCTTTGGCTGTGTATCAATGAAATGACCCCACACACAGTTACCAAAATAGTTCTCAGGGATTGGAGGCTCTAATCTTGCCCTGCAATCCACCCCGAATGAAAAAGCGAATTTATCTTTGTCCTTTTCAACTCCTTGAATAGCTTTAGCAATGCAGACAGAAACATAAGCACATGTGAGAACAAAGGATGATAATGTATGTGGCTTTGATGATTGTGCTCCTTCTTCCACCGTGTCCCACTTGGATAATACCCTTGCCTTTATCTTCTCCAAATCTCCTCGTGTGAGCTCGAACGTTGCTCGAACTGTGTTCTCCAGTTTTGGTTGAAATGGTAGAATCTTCAAGCATCGCCCATCACTGTTTTCTTTAGGGAACATTTTGGACAAGGTTTCTGTCCAATTTTTTGTGGACGTGATGCTAAGTTCACTTGGATCTTTGATGACTTCCCTGTTATAGAAGGGCACTAACTCTGGCACCAGAGATGGTGATTCTTCACAGCTTTGACATAGAGAAGCCCATGCCTTGATGAACATAGTTGTAGATTTCCCATCAAGAACAGCATGGTGGGTGCTGATACCGATGCTAAATCCACTGTTTGGAAACAAAGTTATCTGTAGAGAGATAACAGAAGCAAGAGAATCTGATGATTCCAAGTGGGGTACTAAAGAACGAGACTTTACCACTTCATGGGGTGAATTATCCATGATATGGTTGAAGTCAGCATCAGACTCTGCAATGACCATTGAAACACCTTCACCGGGGGTGTATTTGATGATGGGTTTTTCCGAATCAGAAGGCCAAACGATGTTGCCAGCTAGAGGGAGGAAGTGTTGGAGGGTGAGAGAGAGTGAGGTTTTGAGTCTTGGAACTACTTTGTCAAAGAAAAAAGATGGGTCTGACGAGTGTGAATCGTTAAGGGAGTAGAAGAAGACACACTCAAGTGGATGGTACCTGAGCCATGACATGTCAAAGACAGTGAGAGGAATAGATGTTTCGGTTGCAGATGATGGAGGAGCAACATAGCTGTGCTCATGAATTTTGATGTTGTTGTTGTTGTTGTTGTTGTTGTTGTTGTGAGGAGCCATGTGAAACAGAGGAAGTGGTGTTAGAAGAAAATGCTTAGCCCCAAAAAATATTGGTGATGCCTGTTTTAATACTATTTAGGTTTTCATTCTTTGTAGGGCTTGCTAATCCAAGAAGTGTGAGCAGCAAAGGTTGACACGGCTTTGATTTTTGTTTGGGTTTGGTGTGTTTTATATTATACAAAATAAATTTATCTCTTATACGCGTAAAAATATGTGGAACCCATGGAAGAAAAAAATATGAATTTCATATATTTTTATGTGTGTATAGGAGATAAATTCATCTAAAAAACCAATAAATCTTTTTTGTTTTCTTTCTTTTATAGAATGACACTTGTAGTCATCTCATTGGAAATATTTCCAATTAATTCGTGCAATAAGACTAGTTTTACGGCAAAAAAAAAAGTTTTATTATAAATAACCTACAACTTTAGTGGCGGAACCTAGAGAAAGTTACAGCGTCCCGCTCCACGGGAAGAGCCATTCTCGGGACAATTGGGGTGTGCATGGCAAAAAAAATATGAATTTCATATACTTTTATACGTATTTATAAGATACTTTATCTCTTATAATATTATAAACATTACATCTATATAAAGTATTTGTGTTCAAGTCAGACACATGGATGAATACGCGACTTGGTGAATTGAAATTAGGTGCGGCTTTTCAACAAAAAAAATAAAATAAATAGGTGCGGCAATGAAGGGAGGGGGTTTGAATTGTACAAGTCATCCCATTCCCATTCATACTAGAAGGCATGAACCCCCAATGCATGTCTCGTAGTAAGCGCCGTGAAGTAGACCTTGATTCATTTATTTGCAAGTCGTGCATTATACACTTGAACACACAACAAATGAGCACATCTTATTACATTATTTTGGTAAAATATCTCCCTTTTAAATCAATTTGATATTTTGATTTTAAAATTGTATTAAAATAATTAAATTCCCTTATTCTCATGTGGTTATTTAGTGAATACACCACATAGTGCTTATTATCAAAAGTAGACGGAATTAGCGCCAGAAGGATTGTTAGGTTATAGGTGAGTTAAATGGATTTAGCGAACTTATAAACTCGATTTTTCATACAACTCAACCTAAATAACTGGATAGATTGGGTTCATAGATTAGGTTAAGTTGATAATCACACAAACTCATAAAACATGGGTTAAGTATTAAGTTATTAAACTGCAAAATTTTTGCTAATGATACTTTAAATTAAAGTCTAATACTTTTGCTAATAATAAGATTTTCTTATATTTTTTATTGTGACTCCGTATAAGTTTGTGTTAAAAAATTGTGCATGTTTAATTTTTTACTCTCCGTCCTCCACGAAATATCAAAACATCGTAATTTCACTTTAAATGACATAAATTTGTGTTATTTAAAATGATATATATATATATATATATATATATATATATATATATATATATATGTTTTAGTGTTTGTTTTTTTCAAAATATAAAATTATATAATTTTTAGTGAGAGAAAAACGTAAGGAATATAAATTATTGGAGAGAAAGTGAGTAATTTTTATTTTAAATTTAAATTTTAAATAAATATTAAATTATATCTTTCTCTCTTAAAATAATATAATTATATATCATTTAAATGGATAAATATTTTATATATAGAGAGAGACGCACAATTAATTTTTTTTAACGCACTTTCTTCATCTCAATTATAGAATAAAGACACAAATGAGACGTTCCCACCTTGTCAGTCATTTTTGCTTTCTCAGGGTATGGTATTTTTTATTTAAAATGATTGTCCTTTTCTACTATAAAATAATATAATTAAGTGCGTGAATGTGCGAAGATGGTTATCACTCATGCATGAGCCGCGACGACTGAGCTGTCTCTTTTATGCGCAAGAATCAATTGAAGTCAAAAGTTTAAATTATTGGTTGAAGATATATTAATAGTTTTATATATTTTTAATACACTTTCTTATAGAAAAGTCTATTGGTTTTAAAAGATGGGATGATGCATCAGGTTCAGCCTATCTATGCTAAGAAATTTCACAAAGAAGATGAGAGGCGGCGAAAATCGAATTCAGAATATCAAAGTTTTAATACCATATAAAGAACCAAGTTGTTGGATGAGTCTACATTAATAATTTTATTTATCTCTAACACGCTCTCTCACTCTCTCACAAGAGAGCCAATTAAATTTGAAAGATGAATTATGCATCAGACCCCTACCTATGCTAAGAAATTCTATAAAAAAAAATAGGAGACGGCAAAGATCGTATCCAAACTCTAAAAATCATATAAAAAATCAATTCAAGTTAAAACTTTAGTTGTTAAGTGAAAGCTCTATTTATATACTTGACATGCAATAATCACATTGCCTCTTGCTTACTGTGTTGCTGGAACAGGATTGGATGGTGTTTATGGAGTTACTAAAACTTCTTTTCCATCTTGAGGCTGGTCTTGTTCAGTTGTTTTTCTTAACGTTGATCATGTTGAAGCTAGGAATTAGGAGTTTACCTCATCCAATATATGGTGTTTCGAGATTTTGGACTTTGTTAGATACGTCACGACATTGTTTTCTTATGTTGTGTGCTCCAGATCTTCTTGAAAAAATACTAGTGGAGACAGATGGGGTGGTGTACCAGTACAACATTTCATGGTTAAGTTAGAGAAGACAGAAGAGAGCAACGAATATGAGAGGAATAATACCGTGTCGGGAGCTTCTTATTCAATTAAAATTATAAAAAAATAATACTTGAGACTTGAGAGTAGTTAATTGCAATAAAAATAGATTGTGATTTCAAATAAATTTTAGCTGTAATGTGAAGCGTTTGAAACAGTACGACCAGAATTTATTAAGGGGAACCAAAAATAAAATACAATTAAAGGAGAACAGTTATTGCATATTCAGAAAGAGTAGTTGTGCACTTGTGCTTATGTCCTTTTGCTATTGAATACAACCTCAAACCTAGTGATGGGGTAGTTCCCTTTTTCTAGCAATAGCTCCAATCAATCAAAGTGTAGTCCTCCATGAAATAAAGTATTGAAGTTTTCCATAACATTTTTATTGAGAACAAGCCCAACTTCAACCCCACCTTTCCCATCCTTACTCTCTGCCAAGCCAAAGCTTAAATCTCTATCCACCGATATTATCTCCACCTTTGCAGGCCTTCCCCAACCAAAATCAGTACGATAACCACCAAATCGATTTGACCCTGTTAGTCCCATCAATTCAGCTCCCTCACTTTTCAAAGCTTTCACTCTAGAAAACCCATCCGCGGTTCCTCCAAAAACTCCCTTATCAAAGCTTTTTATTTTATTATGAATACACTTAGCAACAATGACGACCCCATCTTCCTTTGTATAATCCCTTGGCTGTGTATCAATGAAATGACCCCACACACAGTTACCAAAATAGTTCTCAGGGATTGGAGGCTCTAATCTTGCCCTGCAATCCACCCCGAATGCAAAAGCGAATTTATCTTTGTTCTTTTCGACTCCTTGAATAGCTTTAGCAATGCAGACAGAAACATAAGCACATATGAGAGCAAAGGACGATAAAGTATGTGGCTTTGATAATTGTGCTCCTTCTTCTACCGTGTCCCACTTGGATAATACCGCTGCCTTTATCTTCTCCAAATCTCCTCGTGTGAGCTCGAACGTTGCTCGAACTGTGTCCTCCAGTTTTGGTTGGAATGGTAGAATCTTCAAGCATCGCCCATCACTGTTTTCTGTAGGGAACATTTTGGACAAGGATTCTGTCCAATTTTTTGTGAACGTGATGCTAAGTTCACTTGGATCTTTGATGACTTCCCTGTTAAAGAAGGGCACTAACTCTGGCACCAGAGATGGTGATTCTTCACAGTTTTGACATAGAGAAGCCCATGCCTTGATGAACATAGTTGAAGATTTTCCATCAAGAACAGCATGGTGGGTGCTGATACCGATGCTAAATCCACTGTTTGGAAACAGAGTTATCTGTAGAGAGATAACAGAAGCAAGAGAATTTGATGATTCCAAGTGGGGTACTAAAGAACGAGACTTTACCACTTCATGGGGTGAATTATCAATGATATGGTTGAAGTCAGCATCAGACTCTGCAATGACCATTGAAACACCATCACCAGGGGTGTACTTGATGATGGGTTTTTCCGAATCAGAAGGCCAAACGATGTTGCCAGCTAGAGGGAGGAAGTGTTGGAGGGTGAGAGAGAGTGAGGTTTTGAGTCTTGGAACCACTTTGTTAAAGAAAAAAGATGGGTCTGATGAGTGTGAATCGTTAAGGGAGTAGAAGAAGACACACTCAAGTGGTTGGAACCTGAGCCATAACATGTCAAAGACAGTGAGAGGAATAGATGTTTCGGTTGCAGATGATGGAGGAGCAACATAGCTGTGCTCATGAATTTTGATGTTGTTGTTGTTGTTGTTGTTGTTCTTGTGAGGAGCCATGTGAAACAAAGGAAGTGGTGTTAGTAGAAAATGCTTAGCCCCAGAAAAATTGGGTGAGGCCTGTTTTTATACTGTTTAGGTTTTCATTCTTGGTAAGGCTTGCTAATCCATTCAACTATTGCCGGCGTTAATTTCATTGGAATAATAAATAATTCGGGGATCCAAATAAGAATGTTCATGGATATTAATGTTTGTATTTTGTAGTCGTTGTTTTATATTATACAAGATAAATTTATCTCTTATACACGTAAAAAAATGTGGAACTCATGGAAAAAAAATATGAATTTTATATATATTTATGTGTGCATAGGAGATAAATTCATTTAAAAAAACTAAATCTTTTTTGTTTTCTTTCTTTTATAGAATGACACTTGTAGTCATCTCATTGGAAATATTTCCAATTAATTCGTGCAATAAGACTAGTTTTACGGCAAAAAAAAAAGTTTTATAATAAATAACCTACAACTTTAGTGGCGGAACCTAGAGAAAGTTACAGTGTCCTGCTCCACGGGGAGAGCCATTCTCGGGACAATTGGGGTGTGCACTGTTTCTAAAAAGAAACAATTTTTTTCTATTTC